TCAAAAAATTTCGTCTTTTAAGTAAAATAGATCAAAAACAATTTTGTCTTCAAATTTTAATTTCGGGTTTTTGAACCCGAAATAATTTCGTCGGCATGTATAGCCTCACCCAACCCTAATCTAATTGCAAAGTTTTATTTTTATAAAAAAAAATTGGTTTAATAATTATGTTATATCTGATCTTAATTGCAGTTACAGTAACTATGGTTACAAATCAATTAATTCTTATATATAAACTAGCCAGTGTTTTTTTTTTAGTACTCATGGGAACTGAAAGTTATTTATTAAGTTAATATAAATCTAAATATAAATTTTACATATACCATATTCCGGGTTCTACATTTTTCCTAAAGAACATAATACCAATCAAATTGGCTAACATTATAACTAATGCCGGCTAACTTTGTCGATATTAGATACTTTCGGGATTTTGTAGTTAAGCCCGTATTCTATTCACCAAAGCACAAGTATTACATATCATATGACGTATAATAATATTTTAAAAATTGATCTACATTATTTGTCATGCTGTGCCGGGTACTTTGGCGAACAGAATACAGTATTAAAGCCCTTACCCAGTTAGCTTCTTAGTGAATCATGGATCAAAAATTGGGTTGGATAAAATTTAGTGATCAGTATTTCGGACGTAGAAAATAGATGAACCCAAATTATAAACAAGGTTGAGAAGTTTTGGTTACCCGGTTTAAATATTTGTTATAATAGGTACAATATAAAATTGTAAAATTCTATAAGCTCTACTCTTTAAACTCTTGGAAATAATTTATATAACTACAGTATTGATTTGGATTTCTTTTGAAATAAATATAATAGATTATGTTGATCGAATAGTAACTCACTTGGTTAGTTTAAACATTTCTGACTATTAAAATTTTGCTAAGCTATCGATTTGGCATGATCCATATAATAATAAAAATAATAAAAGCTATTTTTGTATCATAATGTTAATTCTACGATTTCTAACAATAATGTTCAAATGCTTGTCCAATATGTTTGGCATGCTCTTGTCAACCAATAAACCTTAATAAAAAACGTAAAAAAGACCCAAATATAAATTAGGCTTTTATTACACAAATAGGTGCCGCTATTAAAAAAGTCAATTATGAATATGAATTTGTCGACTAGTTTAAAAATAAATCTCAGGTTAGAATACTAAGCAAAGAATTATGATAAGCAAAATCAAAATAAAAAATTTTATATATTTATATTACTTTAATAGTGAATGTAGTTTTCCTGAAAGTGACAGAAGTTTTTCAACACATCCATATTTTTGAAAGTATTTTAGAACCCGGCTCACAGAGGATGTGCCAACACTTAAGTGTTTGGCAATTTTTTAAAAAGGAGGCTTTCTAAATTTTTCAATGATTTTCCAACAAAGTTGCTTTGAAAGTATCGCATTTTATATCTATATTGGTCACTTGATCTTAAATTATGTAATACATCAATAATGATAATATATTAATTTTATCATACCTGAAATCAATAACTTAACTGAATCAACCGAAAAATTATTCAGTCAATTTTTAATAACTATATGATATCTAACTCGATTCCAAAATTTCAAGTTGGAATCGTCGAGGGATGGCCGACCATAAAAATTCTTTTAAAATTTATAGAACTTTAAGCCAATATTTCTTAATGAATATTAACTAATTTTTGTGAATTTTTTATTTATTTAACTCTATAAGTTAATAGAATTAAAATATATTGAATTTAGTTTGATAGTTGTTGAGAAAACTTCGCTTAAAGTTTGAAAAAAGAGTAAAATTTGAAAAATCAAAATGCCGTAGTAAAATTTTATTTTTTCAACTTTAAGCGAAGTTTTCTCAATGAATTCTAACCATTAGATATTCATTGAGAAATCTTCGCTTAAAGTTAAAAAAATGAAATTTTGCTATGGTTTTTTTTTTCGAATTTTACCCTTTTTTAACTAAATTCGATATATTTTAATTCTATTAACTTATAGAATTAAAATAAATAAGAATTTTCATGGCTGGCCATCCCCTGACGGATTCCAACCTGGAATTTTGTACTGTTGGCTTGTATATGTGTATAACCAGAATATATTTATTAATTAGTTATATTATTTGATATAGATTTGGAAAGAATCGCCAAATTCTTTTGCTATGACTTTTAACATTAGTGATTATCAATTCATCAGTCCAGTAAAAAATCTGATAAAAAAAAAACAAAAAAACAAAAAAACTTCGAAATTTGATAATAAACATAGAATGGAGAACTTACAACACTAAAATCTTTACCTACTTTAAAGTTTCTTTTGTAATTTTTCTTTAATACGAATTCTATGATACTATTTACCATTACTATTACTAATTACTATTGCTATTTACCACTACTATTAATCTTTATGATTTACTATTTTACTATAACTATTATTTAATTATTTAAAAACAGAAGAACTTTTTTTTCTAAAATGCTCAAGTAAATCCTACCAAAAAAGAGTATATGTGGCAAATATTTTGATGATTTTTGATCGAGAACTTTATGAGAATCTACTTAGCAAGAATAAGTGAAAATATTCACATTATCGCTATAAAAAATTTGTATTACCATTCAAACCATTCCCGAATAGGAAGAGAAATAGGAACCAAACTTATAACAATGTTAACAAATTTAATATTTGATGTGCAAATCTTTTTGCACCAAACTATAATAATAATTTATTTTTTTATTTAAAATTAAAAAATTAATTAATTTGTAACAATAACCATACTATTAAAATAATTTTTTTATAAAAATAAAATTTTATTATTAAGAGGAACATTTTTACTTAATTACACAACAGGTAAAATTTAAAATTATAAAATACGGCTATATGTGGCCATGGCTACAAATATATTAATTCAAGTTAAAAAAATATAAAATTTGAAAAAAAATTTATCAGTTTTAAAATAAATTAAATAAATTTTTTGCATAAATTTATATACCGGTATAAAATTTAGATATGGGGTCTTTGCCTTGAAAATGACCTTACCGTACATGATACTTTAAGGTCATTTTCAAGGCAAAGACCCCATATGTTATATATCTGCGACTAATATTATTTATTATATATTTAAAATAAATATAAATACAGTAGTATATATTATCAATAAAAATAATACTGTAATACAGTATTGGCTAAATAAATATACGTAGAATAAACTATTTTACGTAACAAATAAAAAAGCAAAGGTTAGTTAATATTTAATAAATTATTATTTTCGATCTAATTGGCTAATAGCTATGCTTAACGTTAAATAATAAAACTTGAAATATTAGTCAAGTCAAATTTAACTTTAACCAACAATTGCAAAATAAATTACGTAACATAATAAACGATCTCTTTACATCAAAGTTATTTAAGCTTGAATATATAAAGTAATTCGAAATAACTAGAAAAACCAAAATGAATTTAAGATTGTTCAAAAAGACAACACTACTTTTAACAATGTAATTAATGTCTTATAAAGAACCCAAAAATAGAAATGATAAGCAACTTTTTAACGAGTATGTATACAGTATATATTTTATTATATATTTATATATATATATATAATTTTTTTCAGGTTAAATGAAATAACCTTTAAAAAATCTTAAAAAATGTCCAACACGCAATAAACCAGATCTTCGTTCTCTACCTCCAACCATCCATTCAACATCTTCGCCATCAACATGTACTTCTTCATGAAAACCAATTTTCTTTCCATTTTTATAAACTTCGCCGTAATAATCAATTATGTAGACATTTTTATTAAGTTCACTGATCGCTTGAAGTGTGATAGGTTCAACAGCTCTGCAGCTCAAAAGACTTAAGACCTTCAAGTTCAGAAATTTTTTACCGATTATCGATTCACAAGTTATATCATTACACCCGGTTACCATTAATTCTTGAATATCTGGGCAAGAAGTAAGTATGGTGAGAATGCTACTTTCCTTTACATTCCAACACCAATCCAAGTTTAACCAACGAATATTATCATGAGGCATTTGTTGAAGAGCCATATCACTCAAATAAGAACATTCAGAAAGATCTAAGGAGTAGAAAGAATGATTTTTGAGAGATAGACCTTTAAAAAAATAGTGAAAACTATAATATATAAAATAAGTTAAAAAAATTTCTAAAAAATAACAAATAACATTATTAAAAAGATTGCGCATACCCTTCATCGGTAAAACCCAAACCTTTTCTTAACCTCAAAAATTTTAAGCAAGGGTTTATATTTAATACAATATTATATAAACAATTGTCAGTTAAAGAATCGCAAAAAGACATTGAAAATAAAATCAATTTTCTACAATTTCTAAACACATTAATTATAGGATCATCATTAATTCCTTGACCATCGATTGCTAGATATTCCAAATTTTTCAAATAGCAAGATATTCTATATATACTAACATCAGTTAATCTATGACATCCATCTAAATCCAGCTTAGAAAGATTCACACCAAAAACAGAAGAAATTAGATCAGCAATTGTAGAATCTAATAATTCACTACAATAAGAAAGGATTAAAGCGTTTAAATGAGAGGAAAGGTTAATTAAAGGTTTGATATCTGTTATTTCGTCACAGCCTTCTAAAAATAATTTTTGAAGGTTTGGACAATTATTGCCTATGTAAAATACGGTTTTATCAGTTATAGCGTTAATCGATAAATCCAATACTATATAATTAATAAGGTAAAAGCCACAGAGTTAAGAATTTTTTAAAATGAACAAGATCAAACAATAAAAACCCTTGGGTTGATACCTCTTAACGATTGACCAGGGGGATCCATAAGTAACTTTCTAACAAATTCGTCGTCAAGACCACTCGCTCTCGCACCTAAGGAGTGCACTTTTTTTAATATTTCCAAAGCTTCCTTTCCAAAACCTCTTGTGTTATAAATGATAGCCTCATGCCAAAGAATCGAAGAGTAAATTATGTCACGAAAAGCTTTTGAAACTCTAAGGATCTTGATTCTCGTTTGTTGATTTAGATATGACAAGATCAATAAAGTTATTTCATTTGGAAGAGTTGGAAACGGCCTATCACTATTGTTACTTGAAATAGTTTGTTCCATTTTTTAACAGTGAAAAAGGAAATTGTATGTAAAGAGTAAAAGTTTTAAAGAAAAAAAAATTTATCGTTATGCATAATTACGATAATCGGTATGGTTATGTTTACCAGATAAATGATTAACCAGACATTAATGTTTGTCATCATTTTTAGACAAAATTGATAATTTTTTTACCATAGAAGTCATAAAATTCCTTAAAATTTTTCATTACGATAGTCGCGATGATGAAATGTTTTTTTTTTAAGAATTAAAGAAAAAGAGGAAAGAAAAAAAATAATAAATTTTTTTCAAACAAGAGAAAAGGGCTTTGCATCATGTATTCAATTAATTTATCTACCTTTTAACGCATAAAAATAAATTGCGATTTTCCCATTTTTATTTTAACCAATGTTTGGTCTTCATTATAGAATTAAAGACAAAGTGCAGAAAAAAGCATTTACATAAATACGTTAGCAGCATAAAAGATTTCATCGATCAATCGTCCATTATAATAATAATAATGTAATGTAATAATGTTTATTATTAATATAATGTTTATTAATACGTATAATAATGTAAATGTAATTAAACAATATTAAAAACAATCAAAAATGCTATCTATTCTTTTATTTTCATTTACGGAAATTTCATTTTCCCGATTTTTGGATTTTTGATTTTTTTTTTTTTTTTTAATAGTCATAAATTAAAATATGACAAAGTTTAAAAAAAAAAAAATTTAGATTTAGCATTTAATTTATACTTGTTTTTTAATTTTTAACTCGAGACTTTAAAAAAGATTTCTGAGAAATCGATAATATCGTAATATCAGACATATGAAAAGAAATCATGGATTGGATGCTTATGCGGGCGTAATCTATCGTGTTATATAGGAATGTTTTATGTGTTGTATTATTATACTATTAAGATGATAGTTATGCAATCTTATGCGAATTTTATTAATCTAGCATATAATGAAATGTGATTTCATGAGATTTATAATCAAAAAATTTTTTTGATGTGATGTAAACATTAACTATAGGACTACTATATACGAGATTCGCGGCGAACGAGCAATGAATGAGATTTACCCTCGTGAAATAATTCTTGCAGCGTGTCAATGCACTTGTCAAAGGAACTGTCATTTTTAAAACAGCGGCGAAACCAAAGAATAAAAGAGAATTCTACCCCGCAATATTTATCGGACTCGTGATGCGAAAATAACAAGATCTTCCGATTGCTTCTAACTGCCATGTGCAAAACATGAATTTTGGAAACGACTGAAAATGGAAAAAAATCATCATATTGTTCTTATTGTAATTCTAATGATCAAAGTGAGATTTCAAGTACACTGTACGTAGTAGATTCAGGGTCAATGCCAATGCCTTGATTGTCTTTCTAAAAAAAATCTGTCATCCATACATCAGAACTACAATAATTGTCTGAAAATCCAATGCCTAATGTTGGGGGAAATGCAAGAATTATATTGTAAAAAGATAATAAAGATAACAAAAAAAAAAAAAAAAAAGGTACATGTGCAGTAAACTGCGAATGGTTGACGTGGCAAAAATTTAACGCCATGGTGCAGTTCTATGATATTTCTCTTAGTGTATTTTGGTTGAAAATGATTCGGGGAATGTTGTAAGTAATGTCACAAGGGAGTGATATTTGTGTAAATAGTAGGAATAGTAGGAACAATAGGCGGGAAAGTTTTATTAATTACCGCAGAGATGCCACCCTGCAGTTCCTCGTGAACTTGTCCTTTTATATAAAATCAATGAAACGGGTTTATCTAAAAAAAGATCTTAAGTTTACAAATCAACAATGCAGTAATGTTTTTTTTCTTCAAGACAATGATTTTATAAATTCCTATACAAACGTGGAAGAATTCAATGAACTTTTTTCTTGAATTCGATGCAAACCTGATTGTAATATACTTTTAAAGTAATTTTTGATTGAATTCGCCACGGAAATTCTGAATAATCTTTTTTTTTTTTTTTTTTTTTTTTTTTCTATGTAGAATTGAAATCTTTTTTTTTTATTTTATTTTTATTATATTAATATTTTACATTTTTTATTTCAAAGGGGTGGCAAAGTTATTCAATTGAATTGATAAATTTTTTGGATTGTTAATTCACATGTGGCAATTCCCTCATAATACATCGAGACAATCATTAAATTTGTTAATCTTAGTTTTTCTTAACGCCACAACGCCGGCCTCATAATTTTCTAGCGGACTTTTAACGGCCGAACATTTATATTTCTGGTGTGTTAATGCTTGCTTATGCGGTGTGACACTCAACTGTCCGATCTCAATTTCTATTATTATTGAATGAATCCTAAAATAGATCATCAACTACGTACACCGAGATACTTCCTTAGAGGAAAACGCCTTATATTTTTGTGGGGATGGAAACTAATTTTTTTAAAGCCTTCACAACTCTACTGGGAAAAAGCATAAATACTCCAATATGCCGTTTATTCACATATTTCTTAGTTCATTTGCAACCATAAAAAAGCTTTCAGGCAAATTGAACGTTAACGTTAAAAAGTTATAAAAAAGTTTTTCTATATGATGGGCGAATATTATAAAACTAGTTTTCATGTTAATAGCTTGAAAAATCAGTCACGCGCTTGCGTATTCATAGATTCTAGCGATCCTACATTACCAAATCAAGTAATCAACGATGCAAGACCATTTATTAAATTACCTTTTCCCCCAACGATCGATCCGCGTGATTTAATTACCGTCCTTCCTGATGGTCGTGTTCCTACTCGTGCCCCTAATGCGTTTATTATATATCGTCGTGCTTTTATTGAAGCTGCTAGGGCTGAAGGTTATAACTTTCCAATGAACGTAATCTCATCTATGACATCACAATCATGGGAACAAGAACCACAATTTGTTAAAAATGAATATAGAAGGCTCGGTAAAGAAGCTTATAACAGACGTAATGAAATGTGCCCTGATTCAAATCAACGTAGAAAAAGAGAAAAATGGAATCTAGTCTCTTTCAACAAAAAAAAATCGACTGCTCGAAAAATCAAAAAACCGATTCAAAACTCATCAAAGAAACTATCGGAAAATAAAATTCAAAAACAACTTTGCTCGATCACCACTTCAGAACTTGAACAATCTCACATTATTGATTTCGATATCGAATCTACTCAAAAAATGATGAATGATGACTCTTTGGAAATGTGTGATAATTATTATGAAAAAGAACATTTTGATTGTTGTGAACTTTATCAAAGTTCTGAACAATGTTCTGAGCAAAGTCCCGAACAAATCTCTGAACAAAGCCCTGATCAAAACTATGAACGGAGCCCTGAACAAAATTCTGAACAGAGTCCTGAACAGAGCCCTGAACAGGATACCAAAAATTCGAGTGACAACTCTCCAATCATTAGTAATGATCCAGGCTTTCAGTATGATTACTCTTATTTTTCCGATGGTACTATCGAAGAATCACCTCTCCAAACGCCGATCCGTGAAACTTTTGAACATCAATTTGAATCTTTACCTTCATTTGACAATAATATTTATACCATTTCGAGCGATCAAAATGAACTCAATGGAATCCATAAATATACCACAGATAACGTTAATAATCAAATATCTTCAAATCCTCTTGGAATTCATGATAATTTATTCCCAGTGGAGTTTGTATTATCTAATTCAAACGACTTGCCTCTTATATTTGATAACGTTACGACATTATTTCAAGGTGATTTGAGAATTGATTTGCCTTGCGGGATGGATTTTGAGAGTTTTTATTATAACTACTAGATGAAAAAAAAAAACTCTATATTGAACTTTTTGTACATATATAAAACATACATATATATCTCTCTTTCATTCATATTTTATCCATCTATATATATATATATAACCCATATATATGTATGTTTTTTAAAAAAAAAATTTTTTTTGAGAGACAATTTGGTTTCATTTTTTTCTTATACATACTTTTTGGAATATTTTTAACGAACAATTGCCTGAGTCACATTATTTATCCCTTTTTCGAATCATTTCTTATTTTTTATTTTAGAACTGTTAATGAGCCTAGCCACCATAATTTGTGCTATTGGCTATAAATAGTTCATATATGATTATTATTACACCTACATACGATAAGATAAGATTTTTTTAAAGATATTAATCAGTTAAACTGGTTAAAAAAAAAATATAATTATGAAACGTTATTACAGTATTATGAAATCGTTGGTATGAAATAACGATAAATGATATATATATATATATGTAAATTTAGTAAATTTAAGATTTAAATTATAATTAATATGGTAAAAATACTACATAAGATTTCATTAAAAAAAAAAAAAAAAGAAAAAAAAAATTTAAATAAATAAATAAAAAATTATGACAAACTTTTTTCTTTTCGTTATAAAATTTGTTTTTTTTTTATCGTGGCGTAGTAGCAGTCTTTCATCTAATCATTTTTTTTTTTCATGTGTAATGCACCTAAACTTAAAAATTGTAAAATGCGCTCGAAACCGAATCGATTATACTGTTCAAAAAATAAACTGATCTTTACCATATTTAAAATGATTGACTATGCCTGATTTCATACGTACAGTACATAATGATTCATTATTTTTATAAACGCCTAAAATGGTAATTTTCGACTATGCATGTATGATTATTTAATTAATATATCGGTACGTATGACTCAGTTTTGATAAAATTGATTTGATTGGCTAATCTATTTTTATATATACATTCTGATCAAAAAAATTTTTTTCATCTAGATTCATATATATAATTCATATTTCTCATTATTTTTTTCATCAATTAATTAATTCAAATGTTGTTTTTAACTCATCATTTGAATTCTCGTGCGCAAACAAATTTCTCAAAAATTGGCCGGTCTTTTCCAATTTTCCTTCGGAACTCTAGAGGTGGTTTAATCGGAGAACTCTCATTTTCATCTACCACGTCATCTAAAGCTGAACCAATACAATATACTTCTTTGCACCCTAATTTTCGTACCGTTTCACCCAATCATGTAACACCACCACCTCCACCTACTAGTATTACTTCTTCTACTACTCAATCTCTTCCTCAAGTATCCGTAAAACCCATTATACAATCTAGAGCTTATTCTCCACAACATTTTTACCAGAATCGAATTCTTGATCAATACGCGTCTCAACCCATAACCCCAATTACTCTTAGACAACTCATAGTGTTTGGTCGTAATTTGACTGAAGAAAGAATTGTTAAAAGTGGAAATTATGTTAGAAGTGAACTTCCTATACGAATAGCTCATAGGATAAGAGATTTTCAAAATTTACCTTTCATCGTGGGAACTAATCCTCATCTTTCTATGGTATATGATCTATATTGGTCCGCATTTGAAAAATTAAGAAAATTTCCTCCTGTAAGAACCATGGAAGAAAATAATGAGTGGTGTGAAACTATAAAAGGTTTATTAAAAAATCATTTAGTGGTAATTCCTAAATTAGCTATGGGTATGATGGAATGTTCAGAACATTTACCTGGTGAACAAATTGATCGATTCATGAATACAATGTTGAGAACACGTATTTCAAGAAGAGTTTTGGCTGAACAACAGGTCGCTTTGACTGAAAATTGGCATGATCCTGGCTATACTTATAACCAAAGTGAAAATGATGGATGGATCGGTGTTATATCAACTCAGTGTAATGCTAAAGAAATTGTAGAAAAATGTGCTAAAATGACAATAAACTTTTTTAAAGAATATTATGATGTTGAACCACCACAAGTTCTTACCGATGGTCAAGTGGATACTACATTTGCTTACATACCAGATCATATAGAATATATTATTTATGAATTATTAAAGAATTCTATAAAAGGTGTAATCGAGAAACATGCTCCTTCAATAATATCAACCTCTCAATCTCCATCAAAACAAATGCTTAAATCTTCTCAACTTTTTCCACCTATCACTGTGACAATATGTTCCGGTCCAACAGATATATATTTTCGTGTATCAGATCAAGGTGGTGGTATACCTGATAAACTATATCCTTATATTTGGTCATTTGCGAGTAAAAGTAATGATAAAAAAATTTTACATAAATTCACAAACTTTTCAAAAGTGCCACATATGGCTGCTAGAGTAGAAGAATATGAACAGCAAATTGTACCCCCCGAATTAAGTCTTGGCATTGGTCTACCAATGAGTAAAGTATATGCTGAGTACTGGGGTGGTAGTTTAAATATTTTTAGTTTGGATGGTTATGGTGTTGATGCATATGTTAGAATTACTAAATTAGGAAATCAAATAGAAAATTTAGTTTAAATAAGAAGTTTTATATGTAATATATATATACAGATATAAAATATAGTGACTAGCATTTGAAAATTAGGCATAAGAATACATTGTTTATATCCATTATTGATCAGGATAAATTTTATTTAATCATCGTTGTTCTCAATAATTAATAAATAAATCATTCCTTATTGAAAAGAATATTTAATAGAAAATATTTCATAATACTGTAATAGTGATATACGTAGAATATAATGCATTATTTAATAAATATGTATAAATTGAATTTATTTCATTATTTTCTATTTAAAACGTACGTACGTACGTACTCGCGTATAAAAATATAAACACTGATTAAGCGAGTGATTGAGTGATTAAGAGAGAGATTGAAATAAATTAGTTACGTAATTTAGCGAATATAAACAAGTTTATTGAATTTTGCCGTTTTTTTCTCATCCAGCCTTTTTTACATGTAATAAAGATGGAAACTTTAGATTCATGTTAGTATTCAATTAATAAATTTTGAATGCAGCAAAAAGTATCTAAAACGCTTATTAAAATCATGGTTAAATTTTGAAATAAATAGTCAAAAGAAAACATATAAAACAAAACCGTGCTATAATAAAGTAAGAAAATTTTCTTTAAAAAATGTATCTCATAAATATTTTTGAATATCGTGTATTTTCTTTAATAAAATGATAGGTCCAATACGTTATACGCTTTACAATTACGAAAAGCAGAAGTTGAAATTTCAAGACTTTCAGTTGAAAATATTGAATTAAGGGCAACAATTGCAAAATTAACTGATCAAATTAACAATCTGAAAATTGAAAAGAATGTAAAGAATGAGACATTTAAAGACAGCGTTATGGTACAAGAAATTCATATAACCAATGAGTAAGATAGATTCGTTAGATTCCTTGAAAATCGCGTATTTTTCAATACACAATATTTCATTATACAGAATACAAGTGGACAAATAAATGATTTAATTCAGCAACTTCGTGGGGCTGCTGATTCTTTAAACGCGTTAATGGAATCGGATTCTAGAAAACATTCTATTCGCGCAAATTTAAGTTTTAGTTCTGATGGTATACATCTACTTTTTGCATCTATTTATCTGAATGGTTTCGCATGATCTTAATATACCAATTGTCATTTTTGTTAAAAGATTCGGTTCTTGACCAAGGTATAATTAATGATGCCGCAGAAGGAAGTTATCAATATAAAACAAATAATACTCCTGAAATCGACATCGCTCTGGAGAAACTTCCTGACAAAAGAAAATCTCCTAACATGGTATTTTTTTACTGTAATTATATTTATTATAATATGTTTACATGTACATAATTGAAATTTATAGTACTATATTGGATTTATAGCTGTCAATCTATAGAATGAAACCTAAAGTATTACAACCGATATATGAAGAAAGTCTTTCCTCATCATCGTAAGGATATTTGATTTTAATCTTGCATATAAACTTGATGGTCCATTTACTTATCATTTAATTACAGAAAACAAGATGGACAATCGTCTGATTCGTGTGAAGAAGATTTACAAAATGAAACTGAGTCTTTATCTACTTTTGATGCAAAATCTCGAATCCCTATCGTCGTAATAAACCGATCTTTGACTGCATCCCCACCAATAAATAAATCTACAAATAAACAATCAATTGATTTACCTACATGTAAAAAAGTAAATATTACTGAAGAGCAAGTATCAGCTGGCAAGTCATGTTCAAAAACATATCCTAAGGATATAGGTATTGGTGTTAATAATTTTTCGGGTCTAGTATTTATCATTATTATTTTTACTATTTCCTTTTTAATATAGATGGTCCAATTGACGAAGAACAAGATGGCATTCGTCCGCGGAGGAGTCAACAGAATATAAATTACGCAGAACCAAGCCTTCGCAGGTTGGTGAATCAAGGTTAATTTAATGATAACTAAATAACTTAATTTTTTGTTTAATTTTACATACAGTAAATTACGAAAGGGTGATCCATTCACCTATTCATTTGAAGATACCGTACAACAAAAGACTCCAAAGCAAAAAAGACGTAAAAAAACAAATACTAAACGTGAAACTCATGATCAAAGAAAAGCTCTCTCAAATATTACTAACGGTACAGTGAATTATTTATATACGTTGCTTACATTTTACTCAGTGCTTACAATATATTTTTGTTAAATCATAGTTGTTTCATGATTATCATCTGACGAAAAGTTATAAATCAGTAATTTGTATATGTCTCTTGTTTATCTTTCTTAATTACAATATCTGAAACTCGAATTGCTTTTTCCAACCTTGTGTTTCATTAATTTACAAAAAAAAAGTTTTTTTCTTGTGATAAATAAGTATAAGTTTCTATACAATATCTCGCTATAAATTAACAATTTCTCGAAAATTAGCATCATTTTTCTGCAAAGTAATTTCCATCAATCACAGCAATTCAACTTCTTTCCACATTAGACTAAATATTTACGATGCAAAATTATCACACTATACTTTTTTTTTTTAAAAAAAAAAACAAATATAATTACAACTTGCCTTGAAAGATCGATACAAAAACTAACCTTCTCATACACTAAGTAAAGATATGTGCTTTGAATCACATTGTAGAGATGATTTATGTGAAGGAAACTCAATTTTATTAAAAGTTAAAAATATAAAATTTATAGATAGATCTATAAAAAACAAATTCTGAAATTATTTTTATGATCTCTCTATTCGGTTTAAAACTTTTCTAAATCTGCCTTCATTTATTCAAAATTCAAATCCGCGTAACCAAAATATATACTGTATACATCCTAAAATAGCATTGTCAAACTATTTTGTTTTTATTTTTTTAATGTGAGAAGCTGGCTCAATTTCTAATAATTTGAAAAAGTCAGCAAGATATTCTTCGTAGCAGTTTCAAAATACTTTTCAACAATAAAATCATTTAGTGATTATAAGGATTGAAATTACTTAATGCATATCTTCATAATGTTTTAAGAATTCATATTTGCAGGGAAAATTTTGATTACATTTAGTGCATTGGTGATCTTCTGAACTGGGTTGGTACACAGCAAAACCATGCTTTGAAAGTTTTTAACCAAAATTGAGATTTTTATTGAGTTATATTCCCAAGTGCGTGATTTATTCATGGTAAAATTTTTATTGCACATTAACATATTAAGATTTAGCACAATATCGTGCGCAGCTTTTGGTAACTATATATATCAAATATTGCATCAAAATGATCAATCATTGATATCTCCTAATAAGAAATTCGTCTCAAAGCATGGTTTTGCTGTGAACCTACCCAACTTGATTCTAATTCTGGCGATTCCTAAATTCAAAAAAAAAATAAAAATATGAATAGAAGAGATATTATAAACAATAAAAATAATGCTGTATACCTGAGAAATTTTTTTTTCGATCTTTTTAACATTTAAAACAAACTTTGGTAAAATCTCAATATCATTTACGGTGGTATCAAGATCTTTCCAACCATGATTATAGCAACGTACAATATTGGTTTTCGTTTTTTTGTATGACCAAATATTTTTATGTTTTGGATCAATTAACCATCCTAATTTTACAGAAGTTCCTTCTGCAAAATAAATATCTTTAAATTTTGAGTCTAATTTATCAAAATCCGAATTTTTTGTAATAACTCCAACTTCAACAACGAAAATTGGTGTGAAAGGATCTCCACGAAATTATTAGGTACAAATGCTATATCCGGTGCTCTTATTGTTCTTCCCCCGACACCAAAGTTAAAACCTCCCTGGGATGTTGTAAGAATACCATTCTGACCTGTTTGTTCATTCCAGAGGTCAAGTAGAGCTACAATTGTTGCAACAACAGCCTCCACATTAATTGTTGCTTGTGGCATAGGGAGCAATTTTCCAGCTTTATCTAATTCAAAAAGATCAATCGGCTGCTCATCAATTTCTAAAGGTGAACATGTCTTTAAGTGTTCATTTAATAATTCGAAATCTTGAAGTGTATAATAGTTATCAAGGTTCGGATGTTTGAGGTCTAATTTTTGATTTACTTCGGACATTTTAAAAAAATTGGATGAAGTTATGTGAAAAAAAAACTGATATTTAAGAAAATCCATTGTTATGCAACATTCATCACACAAAATTAAGTGTACCTCGTAAAAAAAACGTGATCCACAATAAAGAAAAATCCTTTAATGATATTATAGCCAATGTATGATGTAATAGCGATTAAGGCCTAAAAAAATAAAATGCCTTAAGTACAAACAAAATTACATCATATACTGTATGAAATTAAAAAAAGAAAAAGTTGATTGATAACAAGAAAAAACATAATAATTACAGCAATGAAAATAATCGGGAAACTTAGAAATAATATGATCGCAATGTTCACAAAAGCTATATATTTAAGAACCATCGATCAAACTTGCAAGATAAAAAGAGATGGGGATATTATTCAGAGTAATTACTTTCATATTTATACTATGCAAATATTCTTATGATTAATAATTCTTAAGAGCCATTTATCGTTTACGTCATTATTAATTGACACAACTTTTCAATTTAACAAAGTTTTTCGCATGTTGCTAAAGCAAGTGTACCAGGTTGTGCTCCGGATGATCATGTGATTGTCCGGAAGTCAATTCTAATGATATCATCGATTAATTAATAATAAACAATAGTAACTAGAGATTGCACATGCGGGCGGCTTCGCCGCCCAGTTGATATAATGTAGTTATTTGTTATAGTTGAGATAGGCTGAAATAGTGAAAATAAGTGTTAGAAAAGTATGTATTGTTAGTATTTTATTAGTTTTTTTTTTATGGTTTTATTATTCATGTAATAATAGGTTATGTGTAATTATGAAAAAAAAATGGTTAAAAAAGTCAATTAAATGGTTTACAGATGTAAAAGCGTTCTTGTCATAGTTATGCTGTTGTTTTTATTCCATGATAACTGAAAATAAAAAACTATAAAATTTTTTTCGAGATTGCGATTTTTCAGAATTATAATTTATCGATTTCTATCAATATTTATATTTATTTTAAATCGATAATATTTCGCAAGTGCAATAATGAATTAATGAAATTATTTTTTCGAGAATTTGAACTTCAAAATATAGTACGATCAGGATTTGGATTTTTAGGATTTTTAACAACTTTCTAATTGAATATGTACTAATTAGAAGTAATAGGAACGAATTTTATATATATAAAGTAAAAATCTATTTATATAACCTCTAACATTAAAAAAACAACTTTGAGCGAAGATATTTCAGCAACTATCTAATCAAACTCGATGAATTGTTTTTTTATTGAATTCTATAGGTCAATAGAATTCAAATAAAAAATATATTTTATCGAATTTGATCAGATAAT